CTCTAAAACTTCCTGGCAGATGGCTGCGTTGACCTTGAACCTCCCCCTCCCCCCCCCCCCCCCCCCCCCCCCATCACTGGCTCTGTAAAGAAGTGCACGCATTTCTGCCTTCTCCCTGTTCTCCTCCAGCTTTTTTGCTCTCTGTCTGTGTATTGGAGCAGCTCCTATTTTTACACATCTTCCAAAATGAAAACTGCCGTTTTGGATCTGACCAACTGGACTTTCGACACAAATGACAAAATCTTTTCAACAAAGCGACAGTCCTGGAAAACCCTCATCTGCTCGGACGACATGCATGCAGCTGGATATACCTCTGGGTAAGTGCAATGTGATGCGTCTACCTCTGCTGTCTATCAACGATGCCGAAATTGCATATAAATTGGATTTATGATAATTTGTTTCCTGTTTTTGGAATACTCTGGATACTGGTTTATCAACAAAGAAGACGGCTGCAGCTAATTTAGCCATCGTCAGGCTGCTGTCTATGTGAAGGTTGGTCCGTGCTTTGAGGACTCAAAATCAACTGATTTACAAGCTAAACCATAAGATTGAAGTGAGTCGAATCGCAGGCCACGGGCGGCTTTGGAACTCGTCAGCATGAAAACGAACTTGAAGAGGCTTGTAAGTCCTAATCTGGCCATTTTAGACCTCGGAAGAATCAGTAAAGACTCAAGGCTGACAAGGAAAAATACTTTGCCTGAATAAATCAACAATTGTGGATTGTCTGAATCTGACTCCCAGGTTCCATCCATCCATCCATCCATCCATCCATTTCCTTCCGCTTATCCAGGGTCAGGGTCACGGGGGTAGCAGCCCAAGTAGGGAGGCCCAGACTTCCCTCTCCCCAGCCACTTGGGCCAGCTCTTCCGGGGGAATCCCAAGGCATTCCCAGGCCAGCCGACAAACAGTCCCTCCAGCATGTCCTGGGTCTTCCTCTGGGTCTCCTCCTGGTGGGGTGTGCCCGGAACACCTCACCAGAGAGACGTCCAGGAGGCATCCTGACCAAATACCCAAGCCACCTCAACTGGCTCCTCTCGATGTGGAAAAGCAGCGGCTCTACTCTGAGTCCTTCCTGGATGACTGAGCTTCTCACCCTCTCTCCAAGGGAGAGTCCAGACATCCTGCGAAGAAAACTCATTTCGACCGCCTGTATCCGTGATCTCGTTCTTTCGGTCAAAACCCAAAGCTCATGACCCTAGATGAGGGGAGGAACGTAGATTGACCAATAAACTGATAGCCGACTGACCATCATCTCATCTTATCAGGACAATGAACTATCTGTTTAGTGCTTCATGGACAGCCTCGTCGTCAAATGCATATGTAACGTGTTTATAAATGTGCTTGCTGGCAGAGTTTTTTGATGTCTTAAATCGTGTCCCATTAGGACAAGGTGTGAAGAGCTCTTTTTTGTAATGTCAATATCCTCTCTTCGTGGCTTTGTCCCTTTTTTCTATCTAAAAAATTTATTCTGAAAAGGATAAGAAGTCCGCGCTCTTAAAGAGCAGCAGCTACGTGCACTCCGCCCATCTTTCGGACGACTGCACGGACATATTATCGTTATATCTCAGTTCAATGATAATAAAGCTTATTCTGATATTCTGATTCTAAAAACACAGTGGGCCAACACCAGATGACATGGCACCTTAAACCATCACTAACTGTGGAAACTTGACACTGACCTCAAGCAACGTGGATTCTGTGCCTCTCCTCTCTTCCTCCAGACTATGGGACCTTGATTTCCAAAGGAAATGTAAAATTTACTTTCATCTGAGAACATAACTTTGGACTCCCTACAGTTTGCCTACAGGGCCAACAGGTCTGTAGATGACGCAATAAACCTGGCTCTCCACTTCATCCTGCAGCACCTGGACTCCCCAGGAACCTACGCCAGGATCCTGTTCGTGGACTTCAGTTCTGCACTTAACACCATCCTCCCTGCTCTGCTCCAAGACAAGCTCTCCCTGCTCCATGTACCTGACTCCACCTGCAGGTGGATCACAGACTTCCTGACAGACCCGAGTCAGTGCGTGCGGCTGGGGAGAGCTGTCTCGGACACTCGGAGTTTAGGCACAGGATCTCCACAGGGCTGTGTGCTTTCCCCCCTGCTTTTCTCCCTGTACACCAACTGCTGCACCTCCAGCCACGACTCTGTGAAACTTATTAAGTTTGCAGATGACACCACCCTCATCGGGCTCATCTCAGACGGTGATGAGTCTGCATACAGGAGGGAGGTGGACCGGCTGGTGACCTTGTGCAGCAATGATACCCCCATCACCACTGCAAACTCTTATCGGTTCCTTGGCACCACAATCACCCAGGACCTCAAGTGGGAGCCGACCATCAGCTCCCTCATCAAGAAGGCCCAGCAGAGACTGTACTTCCTGCGACAGCTGAAGAAGGCCAAGCTGCCGGCCAAGCTGATGGTGCAGTTCTACATGGCCATCATCGAGTCCATCCTCAGCTCCTCCATCACGGTGTGGTACGCCAGGGCCACTGCCAGGGACAGACTGCAGTGCGTTGTGCGCTCAGCTGAGAAGGTGATCAGCTGCAGCCTTCCATCTCTCCACGACCTGTACGTCTCCAGGACTGTGAAGCGAGCAGGTCGGATCACAGCTGACCCTGCTCACCCTGCACACGGTCTGTTCGAACCACTCCCCTCAGGCAGGAGGCTTCGGTCCATTCGGACCAGAACCTCCCGCCATAAGAACAGTTTCTTCCCCTCTGCTGTTGGACTCCTGAACACTCAATGTTACAGCATAATTTCTGCTTTGGTCACATTACATCTGTATTATAATTGAATACTCCATCTGTACCGTTTTCCAAGCTTTTTTTTTATTGTTTTCTATTGTATGGGTGTACACGTTTTATGTTTTCATTTTTACTTTATTTATGGGTGTACACATGTTTTATGTTATGTTTTCATTTTTACTTTATTTTACTTTATTACTATTCGCACCTTTATGTCGAAGCAAATTCCTAGTTTGTGAACCTCGTTCATTGACATGGCAATAATAAACTGATTCTGATTCTGACTACTCAGCAGCAGCCCAGTCCTTTTTGTCTTTAGCCCAGGTAAGACACTCCTGACGCGGTCCCTTGTTCAAGAGTATTTTGACACAAGGAATGCAACAGCTGAAACCCATGTCTTGCATATACAGTATCTGTGCGTGGTGGTTCTTAAAGCACCGACTCCAGCTGCAGTCCACTTTTTGTGGATCTCTCTCACATTTTGGAATGGGTTTTGTTTCACAATCCTCTCCAGGTTGTGGTTATCCATATTGCTTGTACACTTTTTACCTACCACATCTTTTCCTTCTCTTCGCCTCTCTATTAATGTGCTTGGACACAGAGCTCTGTAACAGCCAGCCTCTTTAGCAATGACCTTTTGTGTCTTGCCCTCCTTGTGCAAGGCGTCAATGGTCATCTTTTGGACAACTGTCAAGTCAGCCGTCTTCCCCATGATTGCATAGCCTACATAACTAGACAGAGACCATTTAAAGACCTTTGCAGGTGTTTTGAATTAATTAGCTGATTAGTGTGGCACCAGGTGTCTTCAATATTGAATCTTTTTACAATATTCTAATTTTCTGAGATACTGAATTTGGAGTTTTCATTAGTTGTCAGTTATTATCATCAACATTAAAAAAAAATAAACATTTGAAATAGATCAGTCTGTCCAAAAAAGTTCAATCTGGTCCTCTGGACATTCAAAAAAACAGAAAACAAAACAAAGCAAAAAATGTAGATACGTTTCGTCTTTCATCCGAAAGACTTCCTTAGTCTGAGGTGCTGTATTCAGCTTAGTCTCTTAAATAGCACCTTCTCAGAGTGGATCAACCAGTTTGCTGTAAACTGGTTGATCTACTACATTTTTTTGCTTTGTTTTGTTTTTTGGTTTTTTGAATGTCCAGAAGACCAGATTGAACTTTTTTGGAATTATCTACCTGGATTATTGAACATGCATCAGGATATATCAGTCTGTGTTCAATGAATGAATATAATATACAAGTTTCACTTTTTGAATGGAATTACTGAAATAAACTTTTTCATGATATTTTAATTTTATGACAGAACCTGTATATGTTAAAAGGAAAACAATTTGCACCAGCTGGCTCATATAAACATTATTCCTCAAGGGAGCAAATTAGTTTTCTGTTGTTATGAACCACTCTCACAAGCAATGTTTACATGGACATAAGTAATCAGGTTAAGCGGCCATTCTGAATAAAAATGTGTCATGTAAACGCCCCATTTGGATTTTTTTTTTGTTTGTTTATTCAGTGCACGCCGTAAGAATTTGTAATCAAAAGGAAATGGGTGGTTTACGCGATTCATAACCCGAACGGTGTGCATGTAAATACTTAATCTGTTCCTTTTTTCCGATTGTGGAAAAACTGACCTGACTGCGCATGTGCAACCCATGTCATTTCCGCCTGGCTAATGCTAATATTAGCATGTCAAGGAAGCAAAATTGGTTGGTGAGAGACACATTTCTACTAGAAACGTTGAAAGAGCTTAAAATGATCTGTATCACCTGTAGCTCAGTCAGGGAGTGCAGTAACGTCTCCACCATCATTAAAACCTGTCGTGGGTCCATTTTGGGCGCTCAGGTTTGTTTACGTTCATCCCGGAAGTAAACCGGAAGTAGAACTTATTCTTCTGTGGGGTTTTTTTTTTTTTTTAGTAGTTTACTACTCTGTGCATGTCAGTACTTCTGTTCAGAACAAAGCCCGCTGCATGTAAACGCTCGTCATGAACAGATTGTGCCCATATAAACGATACTTTTGAATTATTTAATCTGAAAACATGTCAATCCGGTCAAAGAATTTTGTGCATGTAAACATAGCTACGATCATTAAACACCATCCAGTCAGAAATGTGTGATTTAGGTGGAATGTTTTAGTCCTGCATGAATTTGAGCTGCTGGAAACAGAGGAAGTGACGAACGCTGACCTTTTGGTGTTGTACGCCGTGTCCTGGGGGGTCTCTTCCAACAACGTAACATAGACAAGAGCGCAGGTCAGGATGAATAGCACCGTGAGAGTGTGGGCTCGCCTGCAGAGAGAGCAGAGAAAATGATGCCGTTAGATCTAGAAACGTCCTTATGTTCATATACTGCTCATTAAAGAAGGCTGAAAGGAAAACCTCTGGACTGAATGCTGCAGACATTTGCATCTTGATCAAATACTCTTCCAGATCATCTTTGAAACTATTTATGACGAGTGTAAAAATTACGAACATTGACAACTAATTTCCAATGAGAAACCAGGAAGAATAAAAAGACATTAATGCAACAAATATTTCTACAATAATAAACATTTTCTTTTTATATTTGAAGCATAGAAAAATAAAAAGTACAGATGTTTGCGTGATGGTTCCATCCTTTGCCCTAACTTTTCATGTTCTGGGTGTTGAGGAAGTGGTTTACATCCAGTATTACATCCAGTATCAGCCTTGTGCATTATGAATGAAAAAAATAATTCAGGCACCAAGGATGAACACCCCCTGCAACTGGCTGCAGTACAGGTTTTAAGTCCTTTCCCTTCATGTAAACAAAATATTTTCTTGACTAAAAGGTGGGGAGGGGGGGTCGTGGGCAGGATCTGTTGACAGGGCAGGGCACCATGCTTGTATAATGGTTATGGTATCCGGGTGGTCTGTAAAAAATAGCACACAGAACTGGGTTGGAGCGGCCCAGCTCACAACAGAGCAGTTCAAAACTCGAATAATTAGCTGAACCATGGAGCTGTCTGCTGTGCAAATGTTTCTTAAAAACAGCCAATAATCCTCCACCACGACCAGTTGTCCTTGGAGCATTGCAAAACGAACAATCCGGAGGAAGTAATTCCAGAAAAACACTGAACTCACCAGGGCAGATCCAAGTCTCAGTGATGAAAAGAAAGTCCAGTCGGTTGCAGCAGAAAAAGTCGTTCAAAATAAAAGTTTTATTAGCCAGCGATCTGGCATTTATCAGGGCCATCCTTGTAGAATCCACCACAGGAGGAGATGGTTGCAGTGACCTGTCCAGCGGCCTCAGATTTGCAGAGATATATGCGCGCCTTCGGCAGGAAACCCAGCCGCGCACGGGCCCAGTGTGATGATGGGACCCCGACAGCGGGACCAGACAGCGCGCCACAGGATCTGTACAGCGCCAGGAGCGGAGGTGGAAACGTTGACCAACAGCTGGAGAGGATGTTTCAGAGGCAGCAAGTAGGGCTTTCAGTTTCGCCAGCCGGCCAGCGCGTTTTCCAAGGCGTCTGGAGCGACGTCTCTGGGGAGGCAGGTGCGCGCCTCGCTGCAGGTAAGCAGGCACGTATGCCAGCAGCGGGGGGACAGGGGGTGTCCAGAGTTACGCTCATAATGATCAAAATAAGCGACATTGGTGACACAAGGTTGAAGATACAAAAGTTGTTTTCGTTCATACACCAGCAGAGCGTTGATGTCACAGATGAGAAATGAAAAAAACACCAAAAATACGAACACCATCAGCAGAGGTGGATTGCAAGCCATGTACACAGGCGCCATCTTACCGGAAGTTTTTTACTTTACTTTTTTACCGGAAGTAAGGTGGAAGTTCATCTGGACCTGCAGATTTTTTTAGGATCAAGATCTTTTAACAGTTTATTGACCTCACTGACTGAGAATGGAGAAAAAGAGAAGGTGTGATTAACTGAGGATTGACTTGTAGGAGGGATTTGATTTGTAGAAGTTTGATTATTAGGGGAAATGGCTGATTTTCTGTTAGTAACTGTGTCAAATAAAGAACTAGAAGCAACAAAATGTTTGTTGAAACAGTTCAGGATCTCGTGCTTATTTGACACAAGAACAGAGTTAACGAGAAGTTGTGATGGGAGGTCAGATGATTGGGGGGTGCCTGAGAGAGATTTGATACATGAGCATCATGTCTGTTTGAGGTGATGTCTGGTTGGCATGAAGGAACTGATTGCAGTTTTTAAAAGCTGGTGCTTAATTCTTGATGACAACTCAGTGTTTCCCTTACCAGTTTTTAAATGAACTATCTGACTTTCTAACTGGTATTCTGCTCCAATATGATCGGGTTTTGATTTTAGGTGACTTTAATATCCACGTGTGCTGCCCAGATAAACCTTTAGCTCAGGACTTTCTAGACCTCATCCAGTCCTTGAACTTTGTTCAGAGTGTTGTTGGTCCAACTCACCAGCAGGGCCACACTCTTGACTTAGTTTTAACACATGGTTTGTCTGTTTCTGATTTAGAAATTGGTGAACACTGTTTGTTCCGACCACAAACCGGTTTTATTCAGCACCTCATTGATTTGTGAACCTGCACCTCCCCCCACACCCAAGCCCTGTAGGATTTTTAACCCTTCCACCGCCACACTCTTCTCTTCCATCTTTGCTGGTAATTCTGTTTCAGACTCTGAACTCTCTGCGGGTCTTACTACAAAGGAGTTGCTTTCTCAGCATCAGGAGGCATGTGTACAGATCCTGGACTCAGTCGCCCCGTTAAAGCTCAGGAATCGAAAATGCACGCCCCACCCTTGGGTAAATGAGACGACACGAGAGGCAAGACGCCTGTGCAGAAGAGCTTAACGTCGATGGAAAAAAGATAAACTTCAGGTGTCTTTTGAGATGTTAAAATCATGTTGGAAAGCCTATCAGACCACCGTTAAACAGGAGAAAAACAAATATTTCTCAAAAATTATCAACTCAAACAGTCACAACCCCCGCGTTCTTTTCAACACCATTAACACCATTCTAAACGTGCCTCAGTCTGCCACCATTGAGGCCTCTGTTGGCACCTGTAATAAGTTTGTCAGGCATTTTGCTGAAAAGGTTGAGTCGATTAGGTCATCAATTCCACACTCCACAGCCGACCCTTCAGTTCTTGTCCCCTGCTCAGCAGTCTTCAGTCACGTTGACCCCATCTCACTCTAATTTTTAATTGAGGTCGTTGGTCACATGAAACCCTCAGGCTCCCCTGCTGATCCCATCCCTGCTGCATTTTTTAAACAGGTTCTTCCGTTAACTGGACCCGCTGTTGGAGCCAGGACAGTGGACCCATACTGAGAGATTGTTTTGATCGAACAGACTGGCAAGTTTTCAGAGAAGCTGCTGAGAATGGAGGTTCGCTTAATCTTGACCAATACACATCCTCAGTTCTGGGTTACATTAGTACATGTACTGACACAGTCTCCATTATCAGAATTGTTAAAAGCTACCCAAACAGAAAGCCTTGGCTGAATGCAGAGGTGCGTACCCTGCTGGAAGCCAGGAACACTGCCTTCAGGTCTGGAAACTCAGAGGAGCTGAGTAGGACAAGAAAAGAGCTGGTTGCTGGTATTAAGAGGGCCAAGGCCACATATGCAAAGAGGATCGAGGGTCAATTCATCTCACAAGACCCTCAGAGCATGTGGAGGGGCATTAAGTGCATAACAAATTATAAAGGAAGGAGTGAACAATGCCCCAAAGACCCATCTCTGCCTGATGCCCTCAACAAGTTCTATGCACGCTTTGAAGACCCGAACAGACCACCCAGCACCAGACTCACCTCGCCACCGGATGAAGAGCATCTCAGCGTGACCTCAGCAGAAGTAAGGAGTACCTTCAGGAGGATTAATCCGCACAAAGCAACTGGCCCAGACAACATCCCCGGAAAAGTGTTGAAGGAATGTGCTGATCAGCTCTGTGAGGTGCTGGCAGACATCTTTAACACCTCACTTACCCTGGAGACAGTTCACACCTGCCTGAAGACTGCCACAATCATCCCAGTCCCAAAAAAGACTGGTCTGAATGACTATCAGCCAGTGGCCCTCACCCCGATAGTCACTAAATGCTTTGAAAAACTGGTCATGACTCACATCAAAACAACCATCAACATCAACGAGGACCCTCATCAGTATGCATACCGTGAGAACCGATCAACAGAGGATGCAATCTCCTCTGTGGTCCACACTGCGCTCAACCACCTGGAGCAGAAAAACTCTTGCGTCCGTATGCTCTTTGTGGACTTCACATCCGCCTTCAACACCATGATCCCCCAAACCCTGATGGACAAACTATCCACACTAGGACTAAGCCCCTCCATCTGCAACTGGGTACTAGACTTTTTAACAAACAGACCACAGTTAGTGAGGATCCACAACCTCTCCTCCTCCACCATAACCCTCAGCACTGGCTCTCCTCAGGGATGTGTGTTGAGCCCCCTCCTGTTTACTCTGCTCACATATGATTGTGCAGCTACCCATCCAGGCTGTCACATTGTAAAGTTTGCAGATGACACAGCGGCGGTGGGATGCATCACAAACAATGACGAGTCCAGCTACAGGCAAGAGGTGGAACACCTGGAGAGCTGGTGCAGAGAGAATAACCTTCACATCAATGTGAAGAAGACAAAGGAGATGATTGTGGACTTCAGAAGGAACAAAAACACCTACACCCCCCTGAACATAAGAGGATCTGCAGTGGAAGTGGTCTCCAGCTACAAGTACTTGGGTGTACACATGAATGACAACCTCAGCTGGAGCAACAACACCACCAGCCTGATCAAGAAAGCTCATCAGAGACTCTACTTCCTCAGACGGCTGAGGCGAGCTGGTCTGGGAAGCTCAGTCCTCACCTCCTTCTACAGGTGTGCAGTGGAGAGCATCCTGTGCTCGAGCATCAATGTGTGGCATGGAGGCTGCACAGCTGCAGAAAGAAAAGCTTTGAAGAGAGTGGTGAAGGCTGCACAGAAATCTGTTGGAATCAGCCTCCCCAATATCAAGAAGAGGGCCACCTGCATCATGAAGGACCCCACTCACCCAGCACACACACTTTTTGCCCCACTCCCCTCAGGAAGGAGGTTAAGGAGCATTAAGTGTAGAACCACTAGACTGAGGAACAGCTTCTACCCTGAGGCTGTTAGACTCATGAATCTCTAACTAGAATAATCACTGTGAAAAACCATATCATGTTGCTGCTGATCTGTTTCATGTTGCTGCTGATCTATTTCAATGTTGATGTGTTCATGCGTGCACATCTGCTCACAGACTCATGTTCATGTTTGTGCTGATGTTCAATGTTTTATGTTATGAGTGCTTAGTGTATATTTAGTTGATGTTTTTCTTAGTTCATATCTTAGATGTTATTACT